TCTAAATTTGTAACATATCCTGATGTTTCCTTAATTGTATGCTTGTATATAAACTGTATAAAAAGCCACTTATGGATTTAATGTCTCCTCCTTTTCCTGCCCCTCTCACCCCCCAAAAGGGAGAAGTATGTGAAACTTACCTTGTTCGGCAAGATGAGCTTCTTTTGGGTGTCCAGAATTGAAGGGCAAACTATCTCTCGGCTTAGGAGCTGCTCATGCCTCCTCTCTGGCAAGCACGTTTGAATAAAGGAATAAACACTAATGTCTGTCCATGGACTAATCAATCTAGCAGTATAGTGAAACAGAGAAAATTCAACGTGGATTTGAATCTGGGCTTCATCATCCTCCCTGAGCAGGCAGTTTAAACTCTCTAAGCCTGTTTCCTTATCCATAAAATGGCGATAACAATACTGACTTTTTGGTTGTTGAGATGACATGAAATAGTGTATACATTTTTAAAAGGAACTGGTATGGTGCGCTTAAAAACATTACTTGCTGGGGTGCCTGGGTGGCTCCCACTGAGGTCCTAATCTCAGGGTTGTGAGATCCAGCTCCGCGCCCGGCGGTGGCCCGGCAGCAGGGAGTCTGCCCTCCCCCCGCTCGGGCTCTGCTCTCAAATAAATAATTCTTAAAAAGGAAAAAAAAAACTTGCTTAGAAAATTCTCGCTTACAGAAAGGATACTGAAAACCTCCAGGATCCCTCTTTCCGCCCCCCAGGCTGGAGCCTAGAGCGGTCGGGAACCAGGCACCCCGCCCCCCAGCCGCGGGGCTGCCGCGAGGAGATTAGGACTCGGGAACCCGCGCGCCAGGGGAGGAGCGCGGCGGTGGCGCCGGCGGAAGCGCTCTCCCTCCACTGTCAGCTACGCCGGAAGTTCCTGGCCAGGCCAGGCGGTAATCTTGGGGTCCTGCCGCTTCCGCAGGCATCCGGGTGGGCTGTGTGAGTCCGAGCCTCAGCCGGGACCACGCCTGGTAGCAGCAGGAGACGCTGGGGTTTCAGAAGGGGACGCTGAGGGCCGTAAGGAGCAGAAACCGCAGGCGCGGGGCCGCCCAGCAGCCATGTCTCTAGTGGCGGAAGCCTTCGTCTCGCAAATCGCAGGTAGGACGCGTGGCTTCGGGCTGCGGGTGGAGGCGGGGGCGGCGCGGGGCAGTCGCGGGGAGCAGCGTGGGGTTTAGGGCTGCAGCTTTGCCTTTTGTGGCATTAGGTGCTGAACCCAGGCCTGGGGATAGAGTCGGGCACGGAGTACCAGCCTCATCTCCCGGATGAGAAAACTGAGGGGGAGACACTTAGCCAAGCTCACACCGCAGGGGCAGTAATAACGTCTTCCTTCTCGAGGGCTTACTTTGTGCAGCTCCGGTTGGGTGCGGAGGGGCTGGGGTGGGTGGAGGAGGCCGTGGGTTGGCATGGGGGGCGTGGCCACAAGGGCCGGGTATTTAAAAGGATTTAGTCTGAGAGTGGGGGTAGCCTCGGTCGTGGGATCTGAAGTTTTGGGTGATTGTCACTAATGAGTTGCGCTTGTTACCTGATGCCATTTAAGGGCCACCGAAGTTCTTGCTTCCTCTCCAAGCAACACAATATTACCGTTTGCTAGATCTCTAGGATTCACCGAAATGTCTTTCAATCTACATATACTTTTTAGAAACACCTTTGATTTGATGGACAGTTACCAGGATAAATGGGTACATTTGAAATAAAGTAGTATTTTGGAAATGAAAGTACTGAATGTGTCATAAGATTTGCCAAAATGTTTTTCATTGCATTGCATTTGTGTGAACATATATTTCTTTTTTTCTTTTTCACTTAAATACATTGTTTTCTGGAAGAGAGAGAAGCTCTCACTAGATTACAAGCTTCATGAAAGTAAGGATCTACTTGTTTTGGCCCCCATTGTATCCAGAACACCTATTAGTTGGTGCTCAATAAAAATTTGTGACCTGAATCGTGGGGTGGCTGGGTGATAGACATTGGGGAGGGTATGTGCTATGGTGAGCGCTGTGAATTGTGTAAGACTGTTGAATCACAGACCTGTACCTCTGAAACAAATAATACATTATATGTTTAAAAAAAAAAAAAAAAGAAGAAGTTAGAAAGGGAAGAATGAAGGGGGGGAAATCGGAGGGGGAGACGAACCATGAGAGAGTATGGACTCTGAGAAACAAACTGAGGGTTCTAGAGGGGAGGGGGTGGGGGGATCGGTTAGCCTGGTGATGGGTATTAAAGAGGGCACGTATTGAATGGAGCACTGGGTGTTATACACAAACAGTCATGGAACACTACATCAAAAAAATAAATAAATAGAAAAAAAAAATTTGTGACCTGAATCAATGAATAATCTTGAGATTTCAAACAATGATTATTTCTATTTTTACTGTTTATGTTAAAAGTGAGATCATTGATTTAATTTCCATTTCTGCTATGTGAAAAAAATCAACCATTTCACATTGTATGCTGATTCTGGTATACTCTACCCATATGTCCCAATGTGTGATTTCTTCTAAAGAAAAAATCATAAATGTCTTTTGATAAACTTTTGATAAGTTTGGACTTTTGTTTCAGTTAGTGAAATTGAAGAATTCCTAGGAATTTCATTTGTGTGCCATCTTGGCTATTTGTAATCTATTACTCTAGAAGGAGGCATTTAAAGATGAATAATTCAATAAATGGTATTGGGACAACTCCAAGTCATAACACCACAAGAATAAATTCCAAATGAATTGAAGATCTAAATGTAAAATAAGGACAAAAACCAAATTGTAATAAAATAATTAGGAGAAAATATAGGAGATAGTTTCAGTAATCTTGGGTAGCAGAGGAGGCCTAAGCAAGATACAGAATCCAAAATCCCTAGGAGAAAAAATTGGCAGATTTGATTGCAGAAAAATTTAAAAAGCTTTATATGATAAAACACATAAGTTTCTATAAAAATTAATGAAAAAGACAACAGGATCAAGAGTAAAGGATAGGAACAGGCAGTTCACAAATGGAGAAATGCAAATGGACAATGAACATATGAAAAGATGCTGTCACTAAAAGTAGATAAAGTTTTCCATTTAGTTAGATGTGCAAAAATGAATATGATAATTTCTAGAACTGACAAGAGTATGGGGGAAAATCTACCCTCAAACTGTTGGTGAGTCTGTAAATGTACTTTTTGAGAACTTAATATAGCAATATTGATTAAAATGCCATCCTTTGACCCAGAAACTTCTCAGGGAATTTTTATCTGATAGAAATAGGAGTACCATTATTTAAAACTATATATAGCAATATTCATTATAGCATTAATTTTAATAGCAAGAAACCAGAAATGTCCTAAATATATGTCAAATTATGGTATGCCCACATTATTACAAATAATAGAAATGAAGAGATACACCTGTTAAACATATTGGCTTGAAATTTATGATTATCTTAAGTAAAAATAAGTTATAGGATGATATATATACTGTATGAACCCATTGTTGTTAAATAAACCCTATGTAAACTTGTATATGTTTATTTAAGCAAAGAAAAACAATATTCAGCTCATTTTAACTAGTAATTTCAGAGTAATAAGGGTAGGGAGTTGATGGAGGGTAGTAGAGGAACTACATTTCTGAATTGTTCGAATTGTTATAGTGAGAATATTTTACTTATAATTTAAAATTTTAAAAGATTGTATTTGGGCAAGCAGTGAAATAAGGGGTGGCTAAAATAACAATTTATATGAAACATTGTGTTTGACTTAAAAGTGACTTGTAAGGGTGACTCAGATCAAGCAGCTATGCAGAGTATTTTATTTATGGCAATAATTTGATTTTCTTGGAAGAGGTCAACCTCAAAAGATTAGAGATACATATCTATATACTCCTATTATAAATACAATAATTGTGAATCGGTTTTTGTAGTTGAGTGCTCTCATTTTTAGTGTATTGCTTATTATTTTTCCTTTCAGTGGTGCTCTAATTTTTAGTGTTTGCTTATTATTCTTCCTTTCAGTGGGTGTGAGCCAACACACTGATTCTTCTTTTAGAAACATTTAAAGGCGGGGCGCCTGGGTGGCTCAGTCAGTGTCTGCCCTCCGCTCAGGTCATGATCCCTGGGTCCTGGGATCTAGTCCTGCATCGGGCTCCCTGCTCAGTGGGAAGCCTGCTTCTCGCTCTC